GCCAGGCCGCCAGGCGGCGCCGAGGCCCGGCGGCGTTATCTTCCCGTGTGGACCTGCGGAGCTCTGCGGGCTCCGCTGCTCCTGGAAGAGCCGTTAGGAGCCAAGGCCCGGCGCTGCGTCCCGACCCGGGCCGCCTTCCCTCCTGTCCGAGACTAGGAATCAGTGTCTGTTTCCTGCGGAGCGGGACGAGGGCTCCAGGGCGGCCAGCGCCGGCCCAGTGCGCAGGCGCGGCAGCCGGTCCGCAGCCCCTCCTCCCCCTCCGGGCCTGGCGAGAGCCCGGCCGCACCGCGCCCTGCGCCGCCCGGGCCGGAAGGCGGGGGGCGCGCCCCGGGACCGGCTCGCTGCCGCTCCCTCCTTTGCTTCCTCGAATTCGGGGCCCAGGCGCTGTCCCCCCTCGCCACTAACGGTTTTCTGGTGGTTCCTTGGTGGTGATCGTCTCACGGCCTTTCCTGCCCGGGCTGGCTTCGAACCGCGGCCCTCAGCGCTCAGCCTCCGGCGCAGCTGGGATGACCGGCGGGTCCCCCGGCGCCGGGCTGGCCTGCCTTCCCCCGACCTCGCGCGCCCCGCCCTGCACCTGCCCATCCTGTCCCACACGCGCCCCTCGGCCGCGGCCTCCGCGGTACCCGCGCTGCCCAGCCCACGGCTGCACGGCCGCTCCTCCCTGCCTCTCCCTGCGGCGGGCCGGCGCTGACCCCCACCCTTTCCGCAGATCTTAGCTCGCCGAGTTCCCCAAGGCCGCCCCACCTTGGCCACAAGCTGGATGGGGGCCTCGGCGGCCGGGCGGGAGACCGGGACTGTTGGGGGGAAAAGACTCCCGGGAGGGGGCCAAGGGCAAAGCAGGGGGCGCTACCGGGAGGAAAGGCCTCCTTGCCCTTGCCCGGAGGCCAGACACACCCTACACTGCCCCCCCCCGCGGCCTCGACGTCATCTGAAAGCCCCCCCCCTTCTCTTAGAATTCCAGACTCATCGACCGGCGGCCACCCTCCCCTCCCTCGAGGCCTGGGGCAGACTAGGCCGGGGAAGGCCCAGACCACAGGGTCTCTTCGGCTCTGCCAGTGACGTAAGGTATCAGAGATCAGATCTCAGCCTGAGTAGCTAGATAGCAGGTGAGACCCACCAGCCCACGCCCACCGGGGCATGAAGCTCCCTCCACTACTGAGCAGAGGCCCCCTGGGTGTGTCTGGGCAGAGAAGGGCGAAAGTGGGGGTGCTGTCTGTGTGGAAGCTTGAGCAGCTGTAGGGCCCTGCAGAAATCTGGGGGATGGGGGCAGGGTGGGGTGGCAGGAAGCACACAGGGACAGGCAAGAAGCCAGACCACAACTCCCCAAAGATTCTCAGAAAGGGAACCCACAACCAACCCAGCAGATTTACCCTCTGACCCGGCTTCAGCCACTCCCTGGCCTCCTGTCCCCGCTGACCCTTCGGCCAGAACCGCCCAGGAGGACTAGGGTACCTCTGCGGGCCTTCCCAGGAGGGGGCAGAGGTGGGCTCGCTTTGTGGCTTCACCTACAGGAAGGCAGTGGCCAGTGTTATCTGCTGGGGCAGGAAAAGCTGCGCCCAAGGCTGGAGCCTCGCTGCAGTGAGCCCTCCACCAAGGCTGCCGGCATGTGCAGCCCACGCGGGCGCACACACACACGGACGCACACACGCACGCGCACGCACGCACGGGCGTTGAAGGCACTCCGGTTTTATTGAGGGCATGAAGGGTTACTTGGGACCTGGGCATCCAGGAGCGAGGCCTGGCATCTGCCCAGAACAGGCAGTGACCCAGCGGGTGCCGGAGGACAGGATCTCCACGGCCTGCGCAGAAGAGCCGAGCTTGAGTGCGCCGCCCGGCCCCGCCCCGCCCCGCCCCGCGGCCTGGAGCGCCGGGAGCGCGGCGGCCAGGGGACCTGGGCGGGGACGCTACCCGAGTCTACTTGAAAGTGTGACTCTCAGCTCCGCCTCGTCCAAAGCCTGCGGAGAAGAGGGAGCGGGTGAGGGCGCTGGGGCCTCGGGAGGCGCGGGGCCTCCGTCCGCCCCAGCACGTACCTTTGGGCCCAAACATGGCCGAGTAGCAGGGGTGGTTGCAGTAGGGCTTGCCCTCGTGCTGCGGGGAGAAGCGCGGTGAGGCCCGGCC